CCGGGCTGGGGATTCGAACCCGCCACCTTTTTTTGGTGTATGTGGCTGGTGCCTTAGCCAGTTGAGCTATAGGCGCCGAGCCGACTAATAGGTTTATTTGTAAAAGAACTTTCTCTTTTGCCTTTTCCACCCATTTCTTACTCTGATGGCTTTCATCTTCATCCTCTTCATCTCGGTACTGAATGGGCCCCTCTGAATCAGAGTCACTCTCCTTCTCCTCCTCTTCCTCCTGCAGACACTGTGGTAGTTTGGAAATGACTGAGGTAGACATCACATCTTCACTGAATGCAGGTGGGCAGATCTGCTCCTCTTCTTCATCATCTGGACTAACAAATTAATGTAATTATATTTTAAGAAACAAAGAGGATTATTGATTCATAAGACAAAGGACTAAAATAAGTATAAAAAAGTCAACGAATGAAATAACTTACAATTCTCTCTTTTAACTTTAATGATCTGGCTAAGAAACATTTTAGCAGCTATTAAAATCTAAAAGGCTGTATGTTCAAATCCCAGCTCTCCCACTTATTAGGTTTTGATGCTTTCTAGAGTGTCTAAATTCATTCTTACAAGCCTACACAGCAGATACTAAAGAGAGGAAAAGTTAAGGTAATTCATTTACTGTTACGTTAAAAGTGCTTACAGAGCTAGAATTTGAACCCAGGGCTATCTTACTCCAAGGCAAATGCTCTTAAACACCATGTTATACACTGCCTTCCTTATATCATATAAAGCTAGTGGTTTTAATTTTCATGTACTTAAGTTTGTAATGTTTATATCATTATGGAAATCTCCATGGGGGAAAAAGAATGAAACCAGCAGGATCAAAAAGTACAAATTCGACTTGGTACCTGTAGCTCAAGCGGCTAGAGCGCCAGCCACATATATCAGATATATACCAGATCTGGCAGGTTTGAATCCAGCCCTGGGCTGGCCAAACAATAATGACAACCACAACCAAAAAAAAAAAGGCCGGGTGTTGTAGTGGGTGCCTGTAGTCCCAGCTACTTGGGAAGCTTGAGTCAAGAGAATCGCTTAAGCCCAAGAGTTGGAGGTTGCTGTGAGCTGTGACACCATGGCACTCTACCCAGGGCAAGAGCTTGAGACTCTGTCTCAAAAAAAAGAAAAAAAGGCTCGGCGCCTGTGGCTCAAGTGGCTAAGGTGCCAGCCACATACACCTAAAGTGGCAGGTTCAAATCCAACCCACGCTGCCAAACAACAATGATGGCTGCAACCAAAAAAAAATAGCCGGGCATTGTGGCGGGCGCTTGTGGTCCCAGCTACTTGGGAGGCTGAGGCAAGGAGACTCGCTTGAGCCCAAGAGTTGGAGGTTGCTGTGAGCTGTGATGCCACAGCACTCTACCCAGGGGGACAGCTTGAGGCTCTGTCTCAAAAAAAAAAAAGAAAAAAAAAATAGGACTTATCATTTGGCAAAAAAAAAAAAAAAAAATTCTAGGACTTATCCTTTGGCAAAGTACTCTTTGTACTTGAATTTATTCAATTTTCTAAGTAAGTTTTTTCAAGCAGGGCTACCTACAGAAAGAAAAAGAAACAAGAGCCAAGCTTTAAAGGTACTCACACTTTCAGCATTTCAATAGTGATGGGAAGTGACCTGGTCCGACCCAGAGTAACGCTGTCTTCACAAAAGTTGTCACTGTTCTCAAAGAGCAAGGAATGAGCTCTGTGAGAGCCCTCCAATGGAGGAGTCATGGGAAGTGGGCTGGTCAGGGCCTGCTGGATTCGAATATGCAGTGGGAGTGGGGGCAGTCTAGAAGGTACATGGGGCTCCCCAAAGCTCTGGTCCAATATCCTTTTTGGGACCTCCTTCTTCTGATCTTCTTGCTGGGAAACCTCCTGGGATAGATCTAAGCAGGGTATAAACTCAATTTCTGGCACAACTACAAAAGTCTTAGCAGGGAATGGAGGGGAACGTGGAGGCTCTGGAGGTATATGAGTAGGCAGTGGAGGGGATGGAGATGGAGGTGGGATTATCATCAGCGGTTCAGAGCCCACAGAGTACGTGCTCTTCTCTCTTTGATCACTTGGTGTTTTTGTGGTGATGACAGGAGCAGGCTCCACGGTAGGTACCAAGGTGGATGGAATGCCTCTCTTAGGTGGTAAGGGTGGGGATGGTTTTGATAACAATGTGCCACTGTTTATTGCTTGTGACAGTTCAGCTAGAAAAGAGAGAATAACAACCTCAGTTTAGCATGGTTTTACAATGTCTTGTGAGACCAGACCAGGGCCTAGAATTAGAGCTGAGCTCAATATTAAGGCTTTGCTAGTCCCTACATATGTCATCCTGAAACAAAATCTATATTTATTCAAATACATATATAGAGGTATAAGAAGACTCTTGTGAATACTTACTTCATTGCTAAACAGTAGATATAACTTATTTTTGAGATACTGTGTTGCTTTGTCACCTGGACTAGAATGAAGTGGCATCATAGCTCACTGAAACATCAAATACCTGAGCTCAAGCAAAGCTCCTGCCTCAGCCTCCAAAGTAGATGGGACTATAGGTTCACACTACCGTGTTTGAATAATTTTTCTGTTGTTTTTTGTAGAGATGGGGTCTTGCTACACTGGCTAGGTTGGTCTTGAACTCCTGGCCTCAATTGATGTTCCTGCCTGGGAAGTGCTGGGATTATAGGTGTGAGCCATCATGTCTAGCCTGTAACTTTTTAAAACTTGATATTGGTGTAGAGTTAATATGAATGGAGACAGGGCTGGGTGTGGCTCACTACTATAATCCTAGCCCTTTGAGAGCCTTAGGTAGGAAGACTGCTTGAAGCCAGGAGTTTGAGACTACCCTGGGCAACATAAATGGGATTGGGATTTTGAAATCCCATCCTCCCCCAAATAAAAAAATAAATAAAATCAGCCAGACATGGTGGCCCATGCCTACAGATCCAGCTAACTGGGAGGCTGACGCAAGAGAATCATTTGAGCCCAGAATTTCAAGGTTGCAGTGAGCTATGATAAAGCCAGTTTTCTGGCCGAGGCTGGGTCTGAACCCGCCACCTCTGGTATATGGGGCCAGTGCCCTACTCCTTGAGCCACAGGCGCTGCCCCTGATAGAAGTTGCTTTGTAGAATAGTACTCTATTTAAAAATGTAAACATTCAGATAGCATAAAAAAATAAACACTATTGGGCATTGTTAACACATCCTACTAATGATAACTAGATACCTTTCCTCTGAATTATAAAACCATTAATAATGACATCTTAAATTTTTATAGAAAATGCAAAGGCTTTTAAATAAATCAAAGTGTTTTTCTATTCTTACTTTTTATTTTTTGAGACAGAGTCTCACTCTATTGCCCCAGGCTAAAGTGCCACGGAGTCATAGCTCACATTAACCTCAAATTCCTGGGCTCAAGTGATCCTCCTGCCTCATCCGCCTGAGTAGAATACCAGGGACTATAGGCATCCACCATGATGCCCAGCTAGTTTTTCTATTTTTAGTACAGACAGGTTCTTACTCTTGCTCAGGCTGGTCTTGAACTCCTGAGCTCAAGCAATCCACCCACCGTAGCCTCTCATAGTGCTTGCCATTACAGGCATGAGCCACAGCGCCTGGCCATGTTTCTCTATTTTTTTTTGAGACAGAGTCTTATTATGTCACTCTCGGTAGAGTGCTGTGACATCACAACTCACAGCTACATCTAACTGTTGAGCTTTAGCAATTGTCTTGCATCAGCCTCCCAAGTAGCTGGGACTACAAGTGCCCACCGCAACACCCGGCTATTTCTATGGTTGTTGAATTTGTCATTGTTTAGCGGGCTCAGGCCGGGTCTGAACCTGCCTGCCTCAGTGTATGTGGCTGGCGCCCTAACTGCTGAGCTATCTTTTTCTATTCTTAAAGTCATATTGTCATTATCATCCTTACCATTTTTCATGAGGTAAAACTAGTCACAGAAGTTGGGTGCCTTCTCCAAGATCACATTACAAACAGGCATGGACTCCGCTAGCATCGAGGTCTCTGACTATTTGGAT